TCAGGGTGTAGGGTTTAGGGCTCAGGGTTTAGGGTTCAGAGTTACTGTTTTAGAGTTTCGGGTTCAGGGTGTAGGGTTTAGGGTTCAGGGTTTTAGGGTTTAGGGTTCGGGGTTCAGGGTTTAGGGTTCAGGGTGTGGGGTTTAGGGTTTGGGTTTTAGGGTTTGGTTTAAGGCCACTGCGATTCCTGACCTGTGCTTTGAAGGGTCCACGTAGAAAACGCAGTCGGAATACTTCTGCAATAGCACTCCCGTGTCATATAGAGTTCCAACATAAGTACGGTATAGTATGTTTTCAACAACCTATTCTGACTGTGAAGGCTCCATTATGCAGTACCCAAGAGTCGTATTGGCAATTACAGCCGTAGCTTGCAGCTACTATTATACCCTAAACAGAAACACCAGTACCCCCGAGACCTTATACATCCTAAACCCCTAAACCCTAAGCCCCTGAACCCTAAACTCTAAGCCCCTAAACCCTAAGCCCCAAAATGCCAAACTCAAAGCCCCTAAGCCCTAAGCCCTAAACCCCAAAACTTTAAACCCTAAGCCCCTAAAAGCCCTAAGCCTTAAACCCCAAAACTCTAAACTCAAAGCCCCTAAGCCCCTAAGCCCTAAACCTTAAACCCAGGAGGTGTGCAAGCCCACAACGGGCAGGGAGCTGGCAGTTCAAAAGCCGCGCCTTAAACAAAAACAAAAACTTAAGCCCCTTCTAATGTATAGGGGCCTTAATAATTACCTAGGGTTTAGGGTTTCGGGTTTAGGGCCGATACGAGTATGCCTAATTGATAGGCTCCTTATTATCAATACAGTGAAATATACCACAAAACCCCATTCTAATCCCTAAACCCTAAACCCTAAACCCTAATTACTACATTAGCTGGACTCGAGAAGTGCCGTGTCGATTATCGAGCCCCTGGGCTCCGGGTCGTTGTTTCTGTAGAACCAACACCCGCTTTGTCAGCTCCACGCCTCTTGGGGTTGACAATTGAGGGGTTTGGGTTTAGGTCTTGGGGTTTAGGTTTGGGGTTGAGGGTTTTGGGTCTAGGGTGTAGGATTTAGGGACCCTGTTAGAACCCACACCAGAGCTTCAGCAACTCAGAAGCTAGCGATTATAGGGGGAGGCTACCTTCAGAATGCCGCAGATGATACCCGCCCTCCGTTCTGAGGCGAAAGCCACAGAGAGTGCCGGCCATTTTCGACAGCGCCCCCCCCGTTCTGAGGCTACCTTCAGAATGCCGCAGATGGTACCGGCCATTTTCGGCTCAGATCCACCGCTCGGAGTGCGCCAAGCGCCAGGCCCACATGTGCAGTGGCCTTGGCGTGTGCGCCTGGCGCGCGTAAAGCCTTCAACCCTACACCCCAAAGCCTTAAACCTCAAAGCCTAAACTCTACAACCCTCAAGTCCCAAAGCCTAAACCAGCAACCCTTTACACTCCTAAACCCTAAACCCTAAACCCTGACCCTAAACCCGAAAACCCTAAACCCTAAACCCTAAACCCTGACCCTATAGCCCGGAAGCCCATGCGTGCTCGAGGCCCAGAGCTCGCCAAAGAGGCTTCCAGAAGCCTCTGTCGATGAGGAGTCGGACGAGGAGATCAAGGCACCACGGAGTTTAAGGGGTTTAGGGAGTTTAGGGTTTTTAGGGTTCAGGGGTTTAGGCTTTAGGAGTTTAGGGTTTAGGGCTTTAGGGTTTAGGGTTTAGGGTTTAGGGTTTTAGGGTTTAGGGTTTAGCGGTTGGGGGTTGGGGGTTTATGGTGTGTTACTTTGTTTCTTTCTTTAGTTCGCGGGGGTTTATGGTGTGTTACTTTGTTTCTTTCTTTAGTTCATGGGGGTTTATGGTGTGTTACTTTGTTTCTCTCTTTAGTTCATGGGGGGTTATGGTGTGTTACTTTGTTTCTGTCTTTAGTTCATGGGGGTCTATGGTGTGTTACTTTGTTTCTGTCTTTAGTTCATGGGGGTCTATGGTGTGTTACTTTGCTTCTCTCTTTAGTTCATGGGGGTTTATGGTGTGTTACTTTGTTTCTGTCTTTAGTTCATGGGGTTTATGGTGTGTTACTTTGTTTCTGCCTTGAGTTCATGGGGGTTTATGGTGTGCTGCTTTGTTTCTGTCTTTAGTTCATGGTACTCTTCTTTGTCGTTATTGGTATGACTCCCTTGTTCTTGCCATCGGGGGTTTTGCAGCAGTAGTGCGTAGTCGGTTGTTCTTCATGGCACGTGGTTGGGTGGACGTGTGAGTGGGTTAATATCGGGGGCTTAATAGTTATAATACTATTTTTGGGGGGGTTCCTTGTTATAACTATAGTATAATGTACGTAAAAATCCTATTCTATTTATTAAGGCCCCTAAACCCTAAACCCTTCTAGTGGCCCTTATAGAACCCTTTAAGGAACCCTTTAAAGGAATCCCAAAACCCTATTCTAATTATTAAGGCCCCGACATTAGTTTCTTGGTTTTATGCCGAAGTGTAAAGCGTCAGGGCGGCAGGATCTGAGCTTGGAGACCTTTTTGCCCTAAACTCCCTAAACCCTACCCTAGGGTTTAGGGTTTAGGGTTATAGGCTCCATAGTAGTTCCTCTTTGGGATTGCCTTATCTCAGCGGGGATCAACTGGAAACGGACCACAGAGGGCCCTCCAGCGCAGGTTCTTGAACCTGAGCCGGCCTTTAACAAAGACCTTCTTCCATGACTCGGGTTTAGGCTTTAGGCGGTTTAGGGTTTAGGGTTTAGGGTTCAGGGGGGTGACCCAAAACTGTAAGCCCTAAACCGAATCCGTGCGGCGCCCCTGTTGTGAATTCACGTCCCGTTTTTTGCACAATGCATAAAGACCTGGCCCCTGACTCTGCCTCTGAATCCCCGGTGTGCCAGGTTTCCCTAAAACCTATAAACCCCAAGCCCAAAAGCCTATAAACCCTGAACCCTACACCCGATAAACCCAAAACCCTAAACCATATAAACGCCTGACCCGAAGCCTTGAGCCCTAAACCCTAGAAACCCTCAACCCTTAACCCTAAACCCTAGAAGCCCTAAACCTAAACCCTAAACCTATGACATGGAGTTCAGGCGACAGAGGCGATCGGCGACGGGATCTCCGGGGACACCAAGGCCTGCTGGTTCCTGGAGAAGGAGGGACTGTCCCAGGAGATCAGGAAACAGGTGGTGGCAGCTGCTGGTGGTCAGTATAAGTACTCAAAGCTCAGGGCGGCAGTGAGGGCGCCAGTGATGGCCACTGTCCCTCAGGTACGTAAGGAGGAGGAAGGCTCCCGATCTCAACATGGGAGCGGCGGAGGTACAAGTCAGTGGTGGAAGGCTCCGGCTAAGTTCCATGCTACGACCATGGACGAACCTGAGGCTCCTGACGGCGGAGGAGAAGAGGACGCTAAACCCTAAGCCTGGGTGTCTCAGCCCGTGATTTGTTTTATAGAAGTCCTTAAAAATGTGGGTTTAGGGTTTAGGGTTTAGGGTTAAAAGGTAGGTTATTCGGGGGTTTAAGTCGACCCTGAAAGCCCTAAACCCTGAACCATGACGGCAGGACATCAAAAGCGGCATCCGGTCCCAACTGTTGAGTTGGGCCAAAGACCCGGGCATGCCGATGGATGAGTCGCTGGACAGGGAACAGGTTTGTTGGGGATCTTTGGAGTTTAAGGAAGGGTTTTGGGTTTTTTGTTTGGAGTTTAAGGGTTTAGGTTTGGGGGGTCTTTTGGGCTTGTAGCAGGTTTCATTTCAATAAGAGCTTTGATGCGAGCTCGAGTTTTCGGAGTTGTGGGGTTGTAAAGGTTCTCGAAGTGGTCTGCGACCATGTGGGTTTATAAGGTAGGGGCCTTGAACATTGGAACAGGGCTTGGGGCCCCGTTTCTAATGTACTGACAACCCTAAACCCTACACCCTAAACACCTAAACCCTAAAAGAATCATTATACTTACAATGAGGAATCTGAGCCGACGGAGTAATATTGTAATTATTTCGGCTTCTATCTTAGGGTTTAGGGTTTAGGGTTTAGGGTTTAGGGTTGAGGGTTCTTGGGCTTGGGATTCCCTGAAGGGCTTCAGACCTGCGGCGGTAATTTAAAAAAGTGGCTTTAATAGTTTGAATAGGGGTTTGGGGCCCATGATACTATAATTATAATAAGGAACCCCCAAAATAGTAGTGGTAATTATGTAGGCCCCTACATTATTGCGGTTTGACTTTTCAGGTTGCTCTGGTCTCGATTTTTAGTGGCCTGGGCTAGGGGTAATTAGGGGCTTCTGGGGCTGTGGGGGTACAGGGTTTCAATATTTCCCGGCATGTTGGGGGTTCGGCTTCGGTGCGAGGAAGGGCGCTTGTACGCCGTAAATCCTAAACCCTAATTTTAGTCTCATATATACCCCGAACCCCCAGCAGCGCTAAACGCAGCAAGAAAGGGATAATGAGCTTTTGTTTCTTTGGAACGGATGCAACACAGCCTCCAAGTTCCGGTTTACCTATAGGGTCATGCTCTACCCCATTTTTAAGGTACCTAGTTCTATGGTTAGGAACTGCTACATAAAAAGTAGGTACCCTTAAAAAAGGGGTAGGGTAGGACCCTATAGGTAGGGTTGAGGGTGACCTGGTATATAGGTGACTTCATGGAGCGGTTGGTTTCTGGCTTCTGGAGACGGGGCGGGCGCCGGGGCTTTCGCTCACCCGGAAGATTCGAGCCCTCTTATTGTATCCCTTCTGTACTGGGTTTAGGGTTTAGGGTTGAGGGTTTAGGGTTTATGGTTGTCTAAATAGCAGTTAAATATTCCCCCAAACAAGAACAGAAACAGTCGAACTAATCAGGCCACTACATTAGCCACCGAGCCCCCCAACATACTGAGGCAGAAGCGCTGCGTCAGACAGCTTCTGGCTCAATGGCACCCCGACAAGCCCCCCGACGAGGTTTATGACTTTGGGTTTGGGGTTCAGCTGAGGTTTAGGGTTCATGGTTTGGGGTTTTGGGTTAATTATTTTGGTGCCGGTTCTGGTGCTTTGGGTTTAGGGTTTCGGGTTTAGAGCGGAGGACTTGTAGCTTCCTGAAATTGTACGATGTATACTTGTCACCCACAGATGCTACGGTATAGGTTAGTTTGGTATTGTAGGATGAAATTATCTACCGCCTGGCTTCAGGACACACCGAGTCCAGTGTCAGTCCCGGAAGACGTTTAAGGAACCCTTACAGTAGACGCGATTGAACCTCAAAACTCCAAACCCTTAACATCTGTCTCGGCCTTCGATTTTTGTCTGATTCCCCTTATGCAGGACGGGAGGGTAGCCCCACACCATATCCTTGAGTGTGTGTGGAGTAGCCACAAACCAGCCCACAAACGGATTCTACAGTCACTTGCTTGCAAGGTGCAGCATGTTAGCTTTGCTGCGAGGAAGATTTCCAAAGTATGTCCGAGTCTGCCCCTCAGCCTCCGGGAATAAAGTGCTCCGGTCACCTTTCCTGGCAAACTTCTGTGTCTTGTATCGCCCTGAACCCGAAACCCATTAGTTTCGGAGCTTGCCGGTCTGTGAGGTAGAGGTCTGAGTACTTCCTAGCAAGATCCCTTGTTATTAAAATGTAAAGTTTATGCACTGAAATTCTTGGACTTTCCAAGATGTCTCTAGCCTTGCCTTCTCAGGAACCGGCACATCGGGCCGACGGCAACGCGCATCTTCCAGTTTATCCAGGAGGAGGCAAAGCCTGAAGGGGGTGCTTGGGATTCAGGTTGTAGGGTTTATAAAGTTGAAACAATTATGATCCCCATGGCCCTTAAGGTAGAGTACAAGGGATCAGAGCACTGATCATCCTACACCCCTGTTCCAAGTTGTTGGGGTTCGCTGTAGAGTTTTAAGGTTTTCAGGGTTAAAAGGTTCAGGGTTTAGGCTCCAAGGGTTCAAGGTTTGAGGGCAAGCAGTTCAGGGTTCATAAGTGCACGGTTGGGGGTTTTTAGGAATCAGGGTTAAGGGTATAAGTATAAGGTGTAGGTTCAGCGGGCGGTGGAGAGTTTGGGGTTGTGGCCTCAGCATTCAGCCTAAACCCTAAACCCTAAACCCTAAACCGTTGCAACCGGTTCGTTGTGAGGGTTAGACACACACACACACACAGGGAGCTGGAACTGCAGGGACATGGCTCGTTCTATTCGCAAAAGACTAGAGAAGCTCCTGCACAGTCACGCTTTGGAGCTTGCAGGAAAAATCGGGTCGGGAAGGCGGCACAAGCCGACGGATCTCATGAATCAGATGCACGTAGGAGACCTCTGACCGTAAACCCTAAACCCTAATACAACGATTGTGGAATATCCCCAAACACCATATTCGAAGCATCAAGGCCCCCATCTCTGTACTGTTCTCGGTACCCGAATGGAGGTAGGGTCTGGGGCAATGGCATGGTGGGCAGCACCTGAGCTCAGTAAAGCCTCAAAACTTCAAATCCAAGACCCGCACCGAAACGCGAAGTCCCAGCCGCTAACACCCAAAACTTGAAAACCCTGCACGTAATCCGATAAGCCGTTGAAAGTTTTAAGACATTAAACCTACCTCGACCCCAACACTTACCATAGACTCCCAATTACCCACTAGCGCATACCCACGACTAAAGAACGCAAAAGGGCTCTATGAAGGATACTTCCGGGAGGGGGGGGTGTCCTGGTAAAGGCCCTATAAAACCGTAGGAGCCCAGCTACCATGGTAGTGGAATGCTGCTCCTTAAGCCTTGGATCCCAGACGGTCCATATACACTACGTGCCATTCTGGAATTCGGTCCCAAAGACCATGCTTATGGACATAATTTTTTGTAGTATATCTCTACACTCTTGGGATATACCAGTTGCTTTTACTAATAGTATGTAGCCCAGTAGCCTTCTATCCTGGAGTAGGCTAGCCAATAACTGCAACTTCCACATCCGTTTTTGTAGTCCATATAGTACCAGCCTCTAAGCCGTAAAATAAGCCCTGTTCAGCCTAGACCGTAAGCCCACGTAAGCCCCAAACCCCCAAGAGTGGAAGCCGTGGGAGGTGGAGCGCATCGTTGCACAACTGGGTGCCGCTGCAGACGCCGCTGCGAGGCAGGACGGTTAGTTTTATGGAGGATGGCAGGGGCGACTTATGCGGTTTAGGCGTTCGGTTTTAGATTCCAGAGTTTTTGCAATTTACAGTTGTTTAAACATTTTTGTCTTGAAGGGAACGCAGCAGCTAGTAAGTACATGTATATATAGGGGTAGAAGCAAATCAACTATGGCTAAGCTACTTGCCCTAGGCTGAAAGTCCGAGATCGCAACCTAAGCTAAAACCTAAAACCCTAAGCCACAAATCCTCTGAACCCTTAAACCCTTAACCTGGAGCTCCCGAAAATTTTAAACCCGGGCATGACCAAGATCGTATGCGTGAAGTTCTAGAAGGCTTCAACCCTGAAGCCCTCACCCTAAGCCCTTCACTTAGCCCTTACCCTTAAAACCCTAAAGCCCGAAAGCCCTAAACCCTAAAGCCCTAAACCGCAAAGCCCTAAACCCTAAAGCCCTAAGCCCTAAAGCCTTAAACCTTAACGCCCTAAACCCTAAACTAAACCCTTGCTCGACATGTTCAACCTCGGAGTCTGGTCTAAGAAAAGAGGCTCTTAACAACCCCCAAGCACGCGCTATGTTTTACTGAGACAATGAATTGCGCGTGTACTTTATATATATAAATATATACTCACTTATTTATGCATGATGTCGCTGATGTCAAAAATATATATATATATATACACATACATACATACATACATACATACATACATACATACATACATACATACATACATACATACATACATACATACATATTTCTATATAACCACGTGCTCATGTGTAAGACAAGCTCTAAGCCCTAAACCCTATTATAAGCCCTGGGCCCTAAACCCTGTAAGCCCTAAGCCCTAAGCCCTAAACCCTAAACCCTAAACCCTGATACAGCATGCGAGCAGCTCCGGAGCACGTGAAGGAGATCATGCTGAGGTCGGATGCCAGAGCCCCACCGAACTGCGACAACC